TACGTACGTATGTACATACATACATGCATACATACATACATACATACATACATACATACATACATACATACATATATACATACATACAAGCATACATACATACATACATACATACATACATACATACATACATGCATGCATACATTCATACATACATATACACATACATGCCCCCTACTTCCGTTCGGAGAGGCTTCCCACTACCTACCGTCTTAACCATAACGATTTCCTGAACCGCTTCACCAAATCCCTAGTAGACCTGACCACACTCAACCGTCACACACTACCATGCCTGTGCTCAAATACACACTCAACCGTCACACACTACCATGCCTCTGCTCAGATACACACTCAACCGTCACAAACTACCATGCCTCTGCTCAGATACACACTCAACCATCACACACTACCATGCCTCTGCTCAGATACACACTCAACCATCACACACTACCATGCCTCTGCTCAGATACACACTCAACCATCACACACTACCATGCCTCTGCTCAGATACACACTCAACCATCACACACTACCATGCCTCTGCTCAGATACACACTCAACCATCACACACTACCATGCCTCTGCTCAGATATGGCGGCAAACCACCTCAAGTCTGCCACGGATTTGGTCGTGTCTACGGGAGAGTATCATGACCTGGGCTCACTTATCAAGGTACGGACTGTTTCACCCGAGGGCAAGTGCTTGTGTACCACATGTATTAGAGTATTCATCATGCTTGATGGCAAGTGCTTGTGTACCTTAGCTAGAGCATGCATGCATCAGAGCATCACCTCCACATATTTTGAAGCAAAGATCAATCGTGAGGAAGAAATCGTATGTGTGTCTCTGTAGAACCACCCCAGCCAACACTGACCCAGTTCAAATTCTGGAGCATTAAGTGATGGCTCTGTATGTGGTCAATCTAGTGCTAGTAAGTTCAATTGCTTGTAGTACCAGTACATTCTATCCTTATAAGTGATGGCTCTAGTCTAGTGCTAGTATTTCAATTGCTTTTAGTACCAGTACATCCTATCCTTATGAGTGATGGCTCTAGTGTAGTGCTAGTATTTCAATTGATTTTAATACCAGTACATTCTATCCTTATAAGTGATGGCTCTAGTGTAGTGCTAGTATTTCAATTGATTTTAGTACCAGTACATTCTATCCTTACAAGTGATGCCTCTAGTCTAGTGCTAGTAAGTTCAATTGCTCTTAGTACCAGTACATGCTATCCTTATAAATGATGGCTCTAGTCTGGTGTTAGTATTTCAATTGCTTTTAGTACCACTACAGTCCATCCTTATCATATGCCATGTATTGAACTGACACCAACTCCTACGAGTGACTATCAAGCACACGTTACTCTATAACCCCCTCAACCAACCCCCTCTCCCAGTTAAACCTCTCACAGATTAACTGACGTTTCCGCAGTTAAACAGTCTCCCTGATTAAGTTAAAAGCTTGTATTGTATACCAACAGTCCGGCGATGACGACAAAGCCAGTGTTGCATATGTGTCTGGGTTTCAGTCGGAGCCGCACAAGCTCAGCGGGGCAACCTACGACTCGGCTATCATTGCTGGGGATGATGAGCATCGGCCTCTGCGGTGGATGGCATTGGAGAGTGTAGTCGATAACATATACAGCGTCAGGTAATTATGTACAACATATACAGCATCAGGTAACTATGTACAACATATACAGCGTCAGGTAACTATATACAACATATACAGCGTCAGATATCTATGTACAACATATACAGCGTCAGGTATCTATGTACGACATATACAGCGTCAGGTAACTATATACAACATATACAGCGTCAGATATCTATGTATAACATATACAGCGTCAGGCAGCTATGTACAACCTATACAGCGTCAGGTATCTATGTACGGCATATACAGCGTCAGGTATCTATGTACACAACCTACACATCGTCAGGTATCTGTGTACAACGTAAGAAACATTTCCAGCTGCGTGCAAATGATCAATCAAGCGCATAGACACCAAATGCTTTTGCATTCTTCGTCCGCACCCGCATGTCACCTTCTTGCACGGTTCCTGGTAGTACTCTGATCGCTCACCCCATGCACTCTATACCATATACTTACAACTGAGTCACAGATCGTATGTATGGTCTTTCGGTATCTAAACCATTTCACACAACTGTGTCACAGATCGGATATCTGGTCTTTCGTCATCTAAACCATTCTCCAACGGTATCACAGATCTGATGTATGGTCGTTTGGTAAATAAACCATTTCTCACAACTCTGTCACAGATCACTCACCCCATGCACCCTATACCATTTTCCCACAATTGTGTCACAGATCGGATATCTGGTCTTTCGGCATCGTGCTATGGGAAATGGCGACTTGTGCGGAACTCCCGTACGGAAAGGTAGACATTCATGAGGTTATGGCGAAGATCGAGACGGGTTATCGCATGCCCAAACCCCGCAACTGCCCCGAACAAGGTTGGTACTTTCCAAATCTAGTGTCTATGTGACCGTCGTTTGTATGTAAGGTTGTGTGTGGCGAGCAAGGTTGGTACTTTCCAAATGTTGTAACTATGTGACCGTCGTCGTTTGTATGTAAGGTAGTGTGTGGCGAAGGATTTTAGTCGGCTTTGTTGACGGGTTGATATTGGAGGGTGTTTGCACATGTTAGAATAGGTCAGCAAGTAAGTGCGACCATACTGTGGTATACTTATGTCTTACCGCAACTAGCTCCATTCTGACTGCGGTATTCTTTGGTCCTACTACAACTAGCACTTAACGCACGTCCAATACTTAATCGAGTGTGAAACGCCTATCCAGCATATGCTACGCAGCATCCCCAAATTGCATTCTATTCATTGATTTACTACAATTGACCCTTTTATGGTGTCACTTATCTCTTTGCTCGTTGTCTCATTCTTAGTAACTATCGTCTTATCCTTGCCATTGCCTAAGGTTATTGTCTTATTCTTAGTAATTATTCCCTCATTCTAACCACTGCCTGTGGTTATTGTATTATTCTTAGTAATTATTGTCTCATTCTTACCATTGCCTGTAGTTATTGTCTTATTCTTAGTAATTTTTGTCTTATTCTTACCACTGCCTGTAGTTATTGTCTTATTCCTAGTAATTATTGTCTCTTTCTTACCACTGCCTGC